TGTTGACGTCAATACTAACTCACTACCTTTTTATGGCTGGCCTCAATTTTATTTATTACAGTTGACCCTCATCTACAAAGAAGATGCATGAGGAATAGGGAAACAGCAAAGATGAGGGATAGAAAATATATTTAACCCGAATTATTGGTGATAAGTTATGAGGGTGTGGATCGAACTCTGATTCTTCACAGCAACAGATTTATATTTTATCTCTCGTCCATCCAATCGACAATAAACGATTATGGATAATGGCCTTGTGAAATGACATCACGCATTATATAAATGATTGCATTATAATGCAAATTAAAGGAAAAAAAAATGTTTCAAATATTGATTATTCTGAAAATAGTTAAGTGTTATCGCAAACAAATTACAAGCGAATTACCGCATTACAAATTACAATATTTTTTATATATTTACATTTGTTTCTTTTATTAAAATTATTTTTTAAGATATAATGAATGTGTGATATCAAACAGTTGAGTATACACGGATGAGAATACACAAATATGCCTAATCATCACAATGAAATTATATTTAAGATGGTTCACAAAGCTATTTGAAATCGTAATTCTAATAATTTTTTACGTAAAAGTGAATTTTTATCAATTTATGTCTCTTACATAAAAATGTAATGATTATAACAATTTTAACTTTTAATTATATAAATTACAATAGTAGTTTTATATTAAAAAGCATAGTGTCCACTCGTTTATTTCGTTTGATTGTCCCTCAGAATGCATTTTTCGAAATCATTTCAATCAAGATATCTAAAGCATATAAAGATAAAATTGTGGTTCAGTAAATCAATTGTAATTCCATAAACCATATAAATCATTAATCTTTATAAAGTAAATTGAATGAAATTATGATTTTTTCCTTTCTTTGACGTATGCCATTCATCATGATATATTTAAAAAGCAAAAATAATTAGACAGAAAGTACGTTTATCTCTTTACTCATAGAAATTTAGTAAAAGATTATAAATAAATATTTCCCTTTTATTTATTACACGTCAAAAAATTTCTCTCACAATTTAACTGCAAATATGCATTCTTACCCAATAATTCCTATATTAGTCATTTTTATCCAGTGAGCTGCTTGACGATATTTTAAGCTATTTTTCTTGCATTTTGTGAAGTTCATAGAACATTATGATCTCTAAAAGTATATTTTTCATATGTGATAAACTTATTCAGTATACAATATATTCTATATAGGCTAACATCCAGTAGATTTTAAATACAATCAATTTTTATAGTTATGGAAAGGATTTTCAAAAACATTATACCAGAAAATCGTAATGACGTCCGTGGTTTCGCATATTTATCACCTTTGCGGTCGTGACTTTCGTTTAGATATATTTAAAACTTTAGAAGTTAAAATAACTTTATATTTTTAACTTCTAAAGTTTAAAATATATCTATTTTAAAATGTTATATTATATAGTCAAAGCTCTGAACAACAGCCACAGTGAAGTGACCGTTGTTGGGAGGTAGCTTTTATTGGAGATTCGACTATACAGTAGAATGAAGACACTGTTTTGAATTTGTATAAAAGCTGAAATAATGATTAAATTTTTTCTGTTGACTCCCATAGATTTAAATTAAAATGTTAAGTATAGAGTCTATTAAAAAAGAATTTGAAACTTCCAATTAAGGTTTTTTATTTGTCTTGTGCAATTAAATCTTTTTTAAAGAAAGTTTTTTCAAATTTAGGATAAATTTTTATTTACATTTTTCAATGAAGTAGAAATCTCTCATTGTCATCTTACTTGTTTAGCACTTTATATAGAAGGATTGTCGTATATAAAAATTTTTAGATTCATTCTTCTACCACTACTACAACTACTACTACGACTACTAATTTATAAATATATCTGATAGTCATATAATATATTACTTATTGTGTACTGGCACAATGAAGTGACGTTTTTCTCAACACTGGGCTAGTTGAATCTTTTATTTAGTTAGCTAACTAACTAAATAAAAGATTCAACTAGCCCAGTGTTGAGAAAAACGTCACTTCATTGTGCCAGTACACAATAAGCAAATACAACACGGTTTCGACAACATCGACAACATCAATAATATATTACTTCAATTTAATAGTTGCTTACATGTTGAAAAAGTTTGATAATTAGGCTACTTTTTAAATCTTACCCTTTTATTTTAAGGATAAAAAAGGTAAATTTACTCTTTTTATTATTTTATATAAATGAAACTATCTCACTTGACCATTCTATAAAGATAATTAATTGTTTTTAATCACTCTAATATAGATATTTAATTATTACTAATAAATATCTAAACTAAGATTGGCAAAAGTTGAAAATTTGTATTTTAATTTACTTAGATAATTAAACTTTTATTTGAAAATTAATGCGGAATTAAATAAATATTCTATAACAATTTTTTCAAAAGAATTATTTTCCTATTTTTAACAATAGTTTCTTGAATTTATCAAACTTTGCTATATAGAATTTATACTAATGAAAAAATATCATCGTGAAGCTTTAACGATCGATCATTCTTAATTAAATGTCGGACAAGTTACAGTGAAGAATCTCCCACATCTCTCGAAGTTTCTTGTGAAGTAATACAATAGAAATTAAAAACAACAAATAAATAAATAAAATTTAAAATATCCTTTTCAAATAATTTTTGCAGATTTTCGAAACTTGAATAATCTCTATCATAAATATAACAAAACATACACACAGTGTTTACATTATGAAAAATTTTATGAAACNAAACATACACACAGTGTTTACTTTATGAAAAATTTTATGAAACATAAATAAATAACAAGGTTAAGATAATAAATATGAATTAACATAATTTATTTCTATATAAAAATGTTTTATCGTTCGCACATGTACTTGTACAATACTTATTATTTACATACACATAAAAAAAATATATGATTTTAATTTATGGTATAATATATTGATTTAAAAAATGTTAATAATTTAAATAAATGTAATACTTATTAATTAATAATTATTTAATTGTTATTTTATTCAATTTAATTTATAATAAACGAAAGTTTTACGATGAGATTAACGAAAAAAATTGTACTTCTCATATTTATGTTGTTTGTAATTATTTATCATTTTATTTTTTATGAAGCTTATCTTTTATTAAGTTATCATGATATAAAGACTTTCAGATTAAAATTTCGTCAGTAATTTTAACACAATAAAAGTATATTTTTAAATGAAAAAGAAAAATGTTAAAATTTATATGCAGGATGAAGATAATTTTTACTCCAAGTAAAATAGCAATTTTTAATATTTGCTCGATAGAATATTGTAAAAAAAAATAATGCAATAAAGATTAATGCAGAGTTTAAATGAAAATAATAAATTAAAACTACATACAATAAACATTAAATATTATAATAATATATAAGGAATTACTTACATTCAGTTCATACGTGAATTAAGCTATTCAATAATAATGAAGAAATTATAATAATTTATTTTAATTAGTTGAAGTAAATTATCGAATATGATTTAAGGCATAATCTAATTAATAAAAAGTGCAAATTTTATAAGGAATAAAGTATTTATTTTTTTTATTTTTTATGAATAAGCAAAACGTTTTGCTTGTTAGTTTGTCGATGTTATATTATATATAAGATTTTCTTGGTTAAATATTTAATTTATTTGCATCTAATATTAAAAAATATATGTTCAACAAAATTACACAGTTTTAATTTTTATAAACGGTTAATATCATTGGGTCATCTTGATAAACACTTTAATTATTCGAAATATGTTTTTAAAGAATAATTCTTTTGATGAAAGAGTTTATAAAATATTTCATCAGAAAACGTTTTGCTTTCTATTTTAAATGAATGATTACGTGAATTGAATAAGAAACATTTTAAAGATAAGGATAAAAATATTATCATTTTTCATTTCCTCAAAAATAAAATTAGTACAAACGTTTCCCTATATAACGTGCGTCTTGTTTAAAGAATTTAGAGAGTGAAATTATTTACTCTTTTAGTTGTATATTTGTCTGCTTCTACACTAAAACGCCATCAATAATGAATGTTTTCTATTAATTCTTCATTTTTGTCCTCTATAATAACAAGTAAAATTATTTAGTATCTCTTCTTTTCTTCTACTTTTCGCATGGAAAGTTGTTTTGTTGGTCAATTACTCAGCAGGGAGTATTAAAAAATTGCCAGTGTTTTCTTAACAAATAGCTTTAACAGGTTTTAATCAATTTTGTTTCATAAACTGAATGTATAGTTATTCCCACATGGTTATAACTTGTTTTGTATATAAGTTTTCATAATAATTTCATAGTTTCTAAATATACCTGTAACTAAAAAGTTATTTATCGATCATATAAAACTTGATCTACACTTTGATATAAATCACATTCAGTTTTAATTTGTTTCCTCTTGTAATAATATAAATTTTCGTTTAAAATAGCGCTTTACTTGACAGATGCACAATATAATTACTTGATATAAAAAAGACTTTTCTGTATCAATTAAAGGTTTGTAGATATTTTTTATTAATATTTAGAAAATTATAAACTAAATTCGAATATATTTTTAATAACTTTGAATTATTATTTAACTTTATATTAAAAACAATGTTTATTCATAAGAAAGAATTCGATTAGGCAACACGAATGAAGATTATAAACATTTTAAAGATATTAAAAATCAAGAATAAATAACTTTTAACGTCTACGAATTTTCCACGTCAAAATCAATTCGGAAAATCTCAGAATATAACAATTAAATCAACACAATGCTATCTACAGAATATAATGGAAAACTTGGTCGACAATACAGCATCTGAAACTTACAATTCTGAGATCAGAAATTTAATAATCCCAAAAAATTCAATTTTCCCGTAACTTCTGGAAGTTAAACCCTATGAGAAAAATAAACTGCTTTACGTACATCATGTGTGCTACTGTAATGACGTCACTTTCGGGAAAAAACGTGTTCGTGTTGCGAAGGGCGGTTGGCAATGTTCCACGAGTTGGACATGCAGTAGGCATTGTCGCATTCAGTCATTGGTGAATGCTTAGCTTCATATGTTGCAAATAAGGTAGGTTTTAATCAAAACGCCTATTTTAATTCAATTTAATTAAAAATTTATGCATGCTTTTTATTCTCTTGGAAATTTTCATTTAATTCATTTTATAACCGAAAAAATATAAAACAGTTCTTTATTCGAGACGTCGAAAGATAAATGTTTTTTTGATAAAGTTTTATTAATTATTTAATCTTTTATTAAATAAAAAATTAATGAGTCTTAATAACAGTATAATAATTATTAATATAAAGAGAAATAGTTATTGTTTAAAGATATTTACGAGATATCAGACAACAAATGATAGAAAAGGCGTGTCTATGTACTGTACAACAGTAAAAAATCAAGGCCGACTGTCATTGCTAACTCTTTTTTTTTATTTCTAATTGTTAAGTATATAAAAAAAAATATAATATAAATTATTCCTTTGATAAAATATCGAATTAATCTGTAATTAAGTTTAATTATCGAGAAGTTAATCAGATATATTTATTTATCAGTATGCAATATAAATGCAGATAAAAAAATCATCGAGGATAGTATTTAAAAATCGACTTTGTTTTTTTAATAAATTCACATTAATAATTTATATTAACCATAAATAGAAGATCGATTACGAATAAAATTTATTATCTGTTTAATTCCGTCACGTGTGCAATTAAAGTAATTAAACTTTTTTCTTGTTTTTAAATAAAACATTTAAAAATAATTTATCATTTATTTTTTTTTTACTTAAAATTCAATATCTTTATTATTAACATTGATGACATGATAAAAAATATAATTTAAACTATTGCTGATAATTTTAGATGTTTATTATGGAAATTAAAATCAATAGAGCGTAATTTTCTCTTCTCGATATTTGAGTAAATTTAGACTGACGAGAATCATTTTAAACAATAAATTGCAAGTTGAAGAGGAACTTTGATTTAACAAAAGCAATTAAATGTTTAAGTTCAACAATGTTAAGAATCTAAGAAATTTTAATATCATCTTACTCTTTAAAATTGAAATCTAGGTTTATTCCATCGAATAAACTGAATTACGACTAAATTTAGAATTGTACAAAGTAAAAATGTTGTATATTTTACTGCGTATAATCCTACTTAATGAATTATATTTATGTAAAAAGAATTAAATCATGAATATATTAAACAGCAAGCGATTTGCTAAAAAAAAAAAATTTATCTTGCATCAATTAATATTATTATATTATACATACGTGAAATATTCAGTAAAAACAGCTGTTTTAATTAATTAATATCAAATATTTATATTATTTTTTAAACTTAAAATTTTAGTTTTGATTATATGATTTACTTCTTTGTATTGCAAATGAGAAGAATCTCATAAATTTTTAACATAAATAAAATACTCAAAACACTGTATTCACTTGCCAGAATTTGGATTTTTTCCAAAGCATAATTGTAGCAATTCTGCGATGTTCAACCTTAACCTAATTTTTAGGATATAAAAATCTATAAGCTATACAGAATTGAAATGATGTAATTTAAATTTTTTTAAATTAAATAGGAATTTGGAATGGGTGACTTACTTTAAATATCTTATTGTTCGGGTTAACATCCTTTTCTATTGTTTGGCCAAATAGTTCAACGACTTTTAAAAAGACAAAGTGACGACAGGTGGTAGAGAAAACGTTAAATAAAGAATTTTAAGCGGTGTCTTTTTGCACAATACTTAAAAAAAAAAATTATCAACGGATCGCAAGTGAATTTGAGTGTTAGACCGCGAGTGTCTTCCCGTCACGTGATCTCTCGGTCTCTTAGCAACCGGTAAGTATTGTCTGAGTATTATATTAATTTTATATATTGTACAGTACTGTACATATATAAAAATATAAATTTATTCTTTCATTGATTTTTTTTTAAAGTGGGTTGATATATATATATATATATATTAAAAAATGTATTTGTTCTCTTTAAGCAACGTCATTATTTATTTTCATAGCAACCGTTTAGTTACAGAAATACAGTGTACAGACCTATTTAAATATGTTTATGTTTTATATACAAAATTTGGAAAATTCATTTAGTTTAATTGGTTTTAAAACTTAAGTATGAAGTTCAGAATCCACGTATTAAATGTAAATGAACATTTTATAAGAATTCATCTTCTNAAGCGATTTGAAAAAAAAAAAATTTATCTTGCATCAATTAATATTATTATATTATACATACGTGAAATATTCAGTAAAAACAGCTGTTTTAATTAATTAATATCAAATATTTATATTATTTTTTAAACTTAAAATTTTAGTTTTGATTATATGATTTACTTCTTTGTATTGCAAATGAGAAGAATCTCATAAATTTTTAACATAAATAAAATACTCAAAACACTGTATTCACTTGCCAGAATTTGGATTTTTTCCAAAGCATAATTGTAGCAATTCTGCGATGTTCAACCTTAACCTAATTTTTAGGATATAAAAATCTATAAGCTATACAGAATTGAAATGATGTAATTTAAATTTTTTTAAATTAAATAGGAATTTGGAATGGGTGACTTACTTTAAATATCTTATTGTTCGGGTTAACATCCTTTTCTATTGTTTGGCCAAATAGTTCAACGACTTTTAAAAAGACAAAGTGACGACAGGTGGTAGAGAAAACGTTAAATAAAGAATTTTAAGCGGTGTCTTTTTGCACAATACTTAAAAAAAAAAATTATCAACGGATCGCAAGTGAATTTGAGTGTTAGACCGCGAGTGTCTTCCCGTCACGTGATCTCTCGGTCTCTTAGCAACCGGTAAGTATTGTCTGAGTATTATATTAATTTTATATATTGTACAGTACTGTACATATATAAAAATATAAATTTATTCTTTCATTGATTTTTTTTTAAAGTGGGTTGATATATATATATATATATATTAAAAAATGTATTTGTTCTCTTTAAGCAACGTCATTATTTATTTTCATAGCAACCGTTTAGTTACAGAAATACAGTGTACAGACCTATTTAAATATGTTTATGTTTTATATACAAAATTTGGAAAATTCATTTAGTTTAATTGGTTTTAAAACTTAAGTATGAAGTTCAGAATCCACGTATTAAATATAAATGAACATTTTATAAGAATTCATCTTCTTAATATGTTATTTTGAAATATTTTAATGCTTCCATTGCCAATATTTAATGAATATTAAAAACACTTTGAATGAATCACTATGTTTATAAAATCTATTTACAAGATATTCGTTATAATATAATCATGTAGGCTATTTAACCTGAAAGTAAGTTAATTTAATGCTGAAGATGTTCTAAAATGTATAATATCCATCAAGTTATTTCAATTAATATAGTGTAGTGTTTAAAATTTATGATAAAATTCATTTCAATTAATTGGAATAACATGTCTCTTAATAGCAATCTGTTGGCATGTGTATATATATATATTTTTTTTTCCACAAAAAGCAATCGAATCATATGAATTTAAATTATATATTGTAGGCCATTCGCTTGACTTGTTTTTCATTTATTAAAAACATATAATTACGCATACAGGTATGTGATCTAGTTATTGAGATTTTAATTAATATGTTGTTAAATTAAAATGTATTAAGCATCAAAATTAATTTTTATAATATGTAAAATAAACGTTCAAAAATTGAAATTTTGAATATATGAATCTACGAATTTATTGCTGACATAGTTAATTAACTAAAGTGTATGTTATATTTATGATGAAAATGACGATATTGTGTATAAAATTTTCAGAAACGTATTAAAAATTTTTAAGTGTAATTTCTATGCTGACGTCACACAGGGTACTACGAAACATCTTCGACAGTTCTGGCACGGAGACCGGATTATAAATAACCGAAGAGGACCATATGATGATTAGAGCATGCGTATTGTAAGGCCATCAACGTTGCGATAACTTGAAAGATTGCAAGCGTTAGTCGCATGTTTGAAAAAAGGTAAGTTAGAAAAAGCAAAAAAATAATTTAATTCTTATAAATAAAAATTCAGTTTATTGATCTATTAGTCAAATTACTCGATATGCAAATATAAAGATTAAGTAGAACTAACTATAAAGTTTTAATTTAATTTATGTACAATTAAATCACTGTAATTCGGTGATATTTATGCAGNAAGCGATTTGAAAAAAAAAAAATTTATCTTGCATCAATTAATATTATTATATTATACATACGTGAAATATTCAGTAAAAACAGCTGTTTTAATTAATTAATATCAAATATTTATATTATTTTTTAAACTTAAAATTTTAGTTTTGATTATATGATTTACTTCTTTGTATTGCAAATGAGAAGAATCTCATAAATTTTTAACATAAATAAAATACTCAAAACACTGTATTCACTTGCCAGAATTTGGATTTTTTCCAAAGCATAATTGTAGCAATTCTGCGATGTTCAACCTTAACCTAATTTTTAGGATATAAAAATCTATAAGCTATACAGAATTGAAATGATGTAATTTAAATTTTTTTAAATTAAATAGGAATTTGGAATGGGTGACTTACTTTAAATATCTTATTGTTCGGGTTAACATCCTTTTCTATTGTTTGGCCAAATAGTTCAACGACTTTTAAAAAGACAAAGTGACGACAGGTGGTAGAGAAAACGTTAAATAAAGAATTTTAAGCGGTGTCTTTTTGCACAATACTTAAAAAAAAAAATTATCAACGGATCGCAAGTGAATTTGAGTGTTAGACCGCGAGTGTCTTCCCGTCACGTGATCTCTCGGTCTCTTAGCAACCGGTAAGTATTGTCTGAGTATTATATTAATTTTATATATTGTACAGTACTGTACATATATAAAAATATAAATTTATTCTTTCATTGATTTTTTTTTAAAGTGGGTTGATATATATATATATATATATTAAAAAATGTATTTGTTCTCTTTAAGCAACGTCATTATTTATTTTCATAGCAACCGTTTAGTTACAGAAATACAGTGTACAGACCTATTTAAATATGTTTATGTTTTATATACAAAATTTGGAAAATTCATTTAGTTTAATTGGTTTTAAAACTTAAGTATGAAGTTCAGAATCCACGTATTAAATATAAATGAACATTTTATAAGAATTCATCTTCTTAATATGTTATTTTGAAATATTTTAATGCTTCCATTGCCAATATTTAATGAATATTAAAAGCACTTTGAATGAATCACTATGTTTATAAAATCTATTTACAAGATATTCGTTATAATATAATCATGTAGGCTATTTAACCTGAAAGTAAGTTAATTTAATGCTGAAGATGTTCTAAAATGTATAATATCCATCAAGTTATTTCAATTAATATAGTGTAGTGTTTAAAATTTATGATAAAATTCATTTCAATTAATTGGAATAACATGTCTCTTAATAGCAATCTGTTGGCATGTGTATATATATATATTTGCTTTTAAATAAAAATTTAGTTCAGAATATTTTTCTTAAAAAAATGCTTTGAAAGAATAAGACATTTTCTCACACAAATAAAATTAAAATTTATCTATGATATTATTTCTTGATTTCTATAGTGATTGAATCAATGAAAGAAAGAGTATTAGTGTTGTAGTTATATAAGGACATTCTCTGCTTCAATCAGATTAATCTTATCAACATTCATCTGTATTCTTAATAGACAATGCCTATCCTAAATTTAATTTAATTTAAATCTAAACAACCTTTTCTTATTTATCAGATAAAATATTACCGGAATTTAAATTTGACAGAATTTGAATTGTCTTATAAAATAAAATTTTTGAAAATAAATATTTATTTAATATAAATAATCAGTATAAATTTATCTGAATATATAAAACTGTAAAATGAGTTACGTTACCAATTCAGTTTTTACTTATGGTTACATAAATTCTAATAATTAATTAAATATCGAAATATTTCGCTATAAAAAATTACTCCAGAAACTTTTCTATTGTTTTTAAATAAGATTCTTTTATCTCCACTTTTATTAAATAGTTTTTAAATAAAATAAACACAATTTGTGTTAATTATGTTAAATTATGGTAAATTATTGAATGGCAATTAATCGTAATTTTTCCCTCTAATAGCGTGACATTAACCCCAGGGTTGCGAAAATCCAGAAAGGAATTGTCCAGTTAATTATAAATAAATTAATTTAATTTAATAATTTTGGAATGCCCTTATATAATAATTAATATCATTACTTGTACTGATATTAATTGCAAGTTTAATGCAACATATCAAATTTTAATGGGGTGAAAGCAGTTATATCAATGGAGAATAACTCAGAATGTATGCGTAAATAAGTTACGAAATTAATCATTCATAAATCTAATTAAAAATATATACAAAAATAAAATATAAGATGAATGAAAATGCGATATAAAACTAATAACAAAAGTTATTATAGGCTTATTCTTTTATATATGTTATAAGTTTATAACATATCTATGACTATTAAAATTTTATATTGTCCACAATTTTGGAGTAGGTTTAAATTTAAATTCGTTTAATGAAAATATTAATTCAGTTATATATATATACAAATAATTATTTTGATACTCTAGGATAATTACGTAAAAATCTATTTTTAATAGAATATGAATTGACTATACACATAAAGTCAAATTTCAGAATAATGACCATTGACGGGAATATAAAAATGGTTATTGGAAGTTCGATTGTAGAAAAATTAACGTGATTAATCTGGTTTAATTAATCTTTGTCCAAATTAAACTCACGCTAGTGATTAAACGTAGACAGTAGTTTGGTGATGTTAGACAGCAAGACTGTGTGAGAATTTGGTCTATTTTTATATCTAATGTATAAAATGTTTATGTTCTTAGTATTTTTCATTAATAAATAATAGATTTTCTTGAAGGCTACATTATTCCCTGTAAAAAGAAATACTATCTTGAATGCTAGATATATCTGCTGCAGAAAACTCTTAAATAGATCTGTTGTATAAACAATAGATCTAATGCTATATACAACCACTATTGTAGTTTGATTATATTTTATTCAATACTTAGTTATTTTTAGATACTAATTTAGTTTTTTTCTTATATAGAATTACAGTACTTGTATTTAGAAAGTAAGTTTCAGTTTATATTTAATTATCTAACATAATCATTTTAATTTATAATTAAATAGATATGTACAAGTTTTGAAATGTGATAATTAAACATTGGAGTGAAAAATGGCTCGTTCCACTCGATATACAGTCAGTTCTGTGGAGGAGATGACATACAGACCAAAATTTCATTCATACGAAACTGCAGATGTCACAATGACTTACGAAGTAATGTCAAATAATTCTACTAAAGACGATGTCGCACCTTTAGTTATGTCAAACGGAACATCACAAAGAAGAACATTTTCAATGTATGAAACAAAAGCCAGTCCAAAAATAGATCCAGATTTTCTAATCGCTTGCAAGAATTCGGACGAAAGCGTATTAGAACGTATTGTAGAAGAAGTACCATCTTTTCAAACAATTAACCAACAAGATAGATGTGGAAGAGTAAGTATATTCTAAATATATAAAAGAAATTTTATATTAACAAGAAATGGAAAACATCTTGTGAATTGTAAACAAGACTGCTTTGCACGCAATATTTAATAAAGTCTACGTAGATTACATGACACTATCATTTAAGATAGTCATCCATCAAATATTGTAGTTCAATGAGTGGGAAGACAAAATAATAATAATCAATAAATGAATTCTGTTAGGAAATCTATTATATTAACGTTTGTTAGAATTAACAACAATATTCTATTTTAAAAACAAATATTTAAGCTATTCCTTCAATTTAACTTTGACATTTAGCTGAAAAATGAAAGTTTATATCTTCAAACCGATATATATATATATATACCTATATTATATATAATTTTTAGTAATTGTAGAGTAATAAAAATTTTATGGCGTTAAATATATGACATAAGAGTATAGCCAATTAATTAAAGACTATTTAACATTACGTCTTCACTTGCATAAATTTAAACAGGAAATTTACGATAATGATTTATTTTTATAAGTTGACATTTGAGTTCGGCAAAATTTATTCCTTTAGCCGATTTTTCAGCCGAAATTATAAAAACTCTATCATTTTTTTTAATAAATATTTATTGCTCATTCTAAATTTTTAGATTAATAAAAAATATAATTAATAAATAAATGAAAGAATTTATTACATGTCGATTGTTTTTCATGTCATGTTTATATCGTTCCCTAACTTATAAGGATGACCTAACGTTGATAAACATCTATCAGTTGGACAAAAATACTCCCAAATGTGATTTGTAATTCAGGTCAGCAGCTTACTATCCTCATTCTTTCGTCGTACACGTTAGATAATCCCAATGAATATTGAAATCAAAAAATACTTTTATCGTTTATTATATAAATTATTCGTGCGCAAAATATTGTATTATAATGTCTTTTTAAAGACGAACATTCGTAATCATTTTCAAAATTGTTAAATAACCCAACAATTTAAAGACAATCTGAAAAAACTTAGCAAAAACAGACCAGCTTTTAAAATTAAATTTAGCAACAGTTTGTCATATTTTACGAATAAATTTTAAAAAATAATAGAGTTATGCATATAAATAGATAACATGTGACATTTAAGAATAATTTTTTCACATAAATGTATATGTTAAAAATATGCTGATTTTAATGAACCGATTTTAAAGACAAAGGTCAAGTTTATAAGGCAAAAAAAAACTTTATAACGTGATTATTAAGAATATTGTCAGTAAGGTGCCAAAATAGCTTCTATATTTATCAAAACCTAAAAATAATCAGGAGAAACATTTGTCTCTTTTCAATTCACATGACGTCATAACAATTCTACCCTCCATAAATAGGTAAAGTTAATTTACTTTCGCTGATAGAGGTGTCATCCTTGATACTACTATGACCTCACTAGAAGGCCAAGAAGAAAAAATCCAATCGTGAAAATAATTAACCATACTCAATGAAGCTATTTTATTTTAGACAGGTTTATATCATGTATGCTCGAATGGACATCTAAAAATGTTAGAAATTTTGGTTCAGCTCGCTCATCTGGATGTTAATCTTGCGGACAGTGAAGGAAATACTCCACTTATAGCAGCTGCACAAGCAGGTAAAACATATTATTATTTATATTTCAGATTTTGCATTAAAAAAATTATATAAATATAATAATTAGACGAAATGAATTTATCTGCGTATTTATCGTTTTGCGAAATTTATTTATATCATAAAAATTAAAGTATTGCGTGTTCTATAGGGAAATCTGTATTAATTCATTCAAAATGAAGGACAATTGTTCACGTAACAATTTTTTCTGGGGAATTTTAAACCGGTTTATACAACACTTGCTGGTATTTAATTCATTTCTTTCCTATATAAACCTATATATCATTCTTTTTATAGATGCGTTAAATTTTAAATTGTAACAGAAATACAGAAAAAAATCGATCTTTCAAATTTTTATATTTTATAATAAGATAATTTACTTCATAAATATTACATTAATTAAATTTTTAAAACTGTTTTCAACATAATTTATTGCGTTAATGTGGTCATAAGTCGTGGTAAATTTACGTTAGGTTCCAAGTAATGCTGAAATTTCATTGATTAATCAAAAAACTTCAAACATTTCCAAAATGATAATTCAAATTAAAAATTAAAGGCTACATTTTGAGGAAAATTTTATATATATTACACCATAAAATCTTTAGAATTAGAAAATACACTAAGACATAAAATTATATTATATTTTAAAATGCTAAAGCAATAATTCCACGAATAAATTTAGTTAAGTTAAATTTATAAAGTTTCTTTACAAAATTATAGAGAAAAAATAACAATAAAAGTTTATAAAATATTTAATTTATAATAATAAAAGCTAATATAAAAGTGTTACTGAAGTGATTAAACAGTTAAATATATCAAACCAAAATTAAATATTAAATTACAGATAAATTTTAAACCGTTTAAAATAAATTTAGTATGAAGTAAATTTGTTTAAATAAGCGCTAAATTCTGAATAATTTTAATGGCATGATCTATTAAAATATTAAAAACTAATTTAATAATTAATATTTGGAAATTTGAATTTAGGTCACGTGGAGATTGTTGGTCTGTTATTGGATAAATACAAGGATGTATTATTAATAGATCAAAGGAACGTTTTTGGAATGACAGCCTTGATGAAAGCAGCTCTACAAGGAAAAACAAAATGTGTAAAGCTTTTGCTTTCTGCAGGTTAAATAATTTGATTTACTATTAGATTTTAAACTAATTATTTTCAAAGAAATTTTTTAACTTAATAATAGAAACACTTAAATATAATTTTTTATAAACACGATTAAAATAAAATTTAAATAATTTAATATTTGAAACTTTTATATATTTTAAAATTTCATTTTGATGAATATTGAATAATTAAGTAAATTAATAATATTTTATATATCCATTAATTATTGCAGGTTAAAAAAGGGAAAGTTAAAATTCACTGTCGTTTATCCTTTATTATACAGTATTTTAATTGATAAAAATAGTGTTAAATTTAATCGATAGATGGCGACAAAAGCTAACATTTATTATTTAGTGACTACCGCATTATTCTAACAAGTTTTGATGCTTAATTAATAGCTTCAAAAGAATTTTAACAAGAAAAATAAGTGTTGTTAAATAGTACAGTATTCAGTACATTTTAAATAATACGTAACTAGCAACAAATATAAAATTATATTAATGAAGTTTTTAATGAATGTTTATACTTTTAATATTAAGGGTTTTGGTAGCTTATATTTTATTGCGTTTTACAGTTTAAGCACCAAAGTTTACATTATAATTTAGAAAAGAGGTATAATGGACAACTTGTTACTTAACATAGAGTCTTAAGCTAAGATAGAAAATACAGTATATTAGAGTTTACTAATAATAATTGTGATATTTATTATATGTATTTGTTTATTTAGAAAAAGCTTGTTACAAGTTGATCATACATTTATTATTTTGTCATAATTATCAGATAAAACAGATAGTTCGATCATTCAAGTATTGTTTTCGAATGAATTTCGTCAGCCAGGTATTTAATTCGTAATAAAAGGAATATTAAGAATTTGGCTAGTCCATCGTTTAGCCATTAAAAAGATTCGCGTTCGAATCCTTATCATCATATTTTATCATGGATGATGTCGGCTTGAGGCATGGTTTCTTATTCATCATCATCCGTGCTAGTCGATTCCATTATGCTTGCAATGTGACCACTATAATATGCTGGTATCTCGCATTAACACAATTCAAAATTAAATACAGTAGTATCAAATTGTAAAATAATTCTGTCACGTAAACCTTACTTAATATGATATTCTGCATAAGATCTATAGTCAAAATTTTATGCTTCTGTCAAAACGATTGTATACAATGGAATAGTTGTAATTCGAACTGTAGACAATGTGAAAAATTTCGAATTGTTAAAATTTGATTACGGTATTTATTTTGAATATTAAAATAGACTTCTTTGTTTTTTTTCCAGCATTTGGCAGTAGTCTATATTCCTTGGGAATATCGTATTTTGTTTTTATTTTTTTCTACTCCTTTAATCGCTTTAACTTGTTTAGCTAAAGATAAATTTATGCAGTTCTACGCTTAGGCATCGTAAAAACGTAGCTAAACAACTACACTATGTAAACTCACGTCTGTAAAATTTTGAAACACGTGACAACTTTGCTCACAGTTTCATCCCAGGAGTTTACAGAACCCGTGCATTTAGGGGAATTCCCGGAAAACATTCGTGCTATAAATCAGTTGACTACATGCTAGTTTCTATTTTCTACTTTCATTTTAAAGTATACACTGGCTCCGAATTATCTAAATTTATACTAAAAACATTCGAATTATATATATATTTTTATCAATTTAAATGCAAAAAAAAAAATAATAACAACGGATTCGAATTAATTAAATTCAAATTAATCAGATTCGACTGGATTAAAGCAATTAATAGAAACATTTTATTTAAACCATTATTTCCATAATTATTGATTTAGGCAAAAGGTAATATTTTTATCAATCACATCACAAATATGAATTCAGAAGATATGATTTAAATATTTAAATAAATAATATTAAATCGACAGAAACTTCTTAATCTAGATAACGTTAATATAGAATTAATGGGTATTTTTTAATAAAACTTCATAAAAACAGGATGAAAATCTTATATATTTGAATGTATTTAAACTTTCATAAATCGACATCACCAGGTATTTATTTAACTTTAAACTTTAGTCTCTTTTTTTCAGTCCTTTTTTTATGAATTTTAAACAAAATTGCATCAAATAATTTTTATTTGAAATTAAAATAATCATGCTGTTACCGAGAAAGAAGAGAATCTGGACACGAAAAAACCAAAACGAATCTTAGGGAGCGGGCGAGTTTTACTTCTTGTAATGAAATTAAAAACAATATATAAGTTTCGTTGCTTTAATAATTACTTAAAACTAACTTAAACAACATAAAAATGCAGAAAAAAATTTAAAAAATAATTGTGAAAAGATTAAAATATAAAATTTAACAAAAGAATGGAGTTCTTGTTAGTAATAAAACTTTTGAAAGTGCAATCGCCCCTATTTTCCTCTTCTAGATTCGTCGCTGTAGAGAAGAAAGTTTACTATTTTATTACAAAGAAATGATATGCAATTAAATTTGCAAAATAAAAAAAAAGTTTAACAGCAATAGATTACAGTTTTAGTTGCAAAAAGTAGAACTCAAGAGAAGTAGCGCGAGGGATTTGGTGCGGTTGCGAGTCAGACTTAGCGACGCCGTAAACAGGCAGTGCCAGCTTTAGTGTCGACGAGTCTGAGTCGCGATGTCGCCAAACTTCTCGCACTACTTCTCGCGAATTTTACTTTCACTTATTAATCGCTGGTATATCTATTAGAAAAAAATGAATATTTTTTAACTAATAGAAAACAATTACCTATTATTGAAATTAAAAAAATTAAGTATATGAAATAATATTTTTTAAATTAGTATTTTTATATATTTGTATTAGTATTTTCAGACGAAAAAACTAAAAATATATCTTAAAAGCTAATTACATAAAAGTTAAAGCAATTAATATAATCATCTTGAAGGTTTTATAGTTATAAAAATCGCATCACTTAGGATTTTTACAACTATTTATATGATTTTTAGTGTTTGCATGTCGTAGTCTTAGTTATAATTTATATATAGATTTATAGGCCTACTGTATATACTTTTATAGATTACAGTATATTGTTATTCCAGTAAATTGGTATGTAAGAATCTATTAATGCTTTCTTCCTATTTTCATTTAATGAAAAATATAGTAAATGCTCCAAATAAATAGCAATATATTGCCCTATTTTCGAGTTATTGGCCTCAATTTTGTTTTCTTAGAAAACTTTTTTGTTATAATTAACAGAAATATTTCTTATTTTTCTGAAGACGATTATGTAGACGTAATTTAATTAACTAATCAATTGTAATATATCGTGCTCTCATCTTAATGAAACTGCACTGATTATCTAAACCGAATTTACGCAAAATAATGATTATCAGTCGGGTTAGTTATCGAATTCAAGTATAAAATTTAAAATTTAATCTCATATAAAACTGCTTTAGTTTATTGAATTAACGTAGCAGCCAATTATTATTTTTTTTCAACTCGAAGTTTAAAATATATATTTTACTATTGTTTTCAATGATAAGCTGCCCTGTAATAAGCTGAATGTAATTTTATAAATTATTTAATTTAAAATTTTTGTTTTAAGGATAATAAATCTGTATTAAAAAGTAGTGAGAGATAAATAAGAAATAATAAATGTTAAAACTGAGTAAAGGATAATTGAATTGTGGATTTATAGATGCTCGAATAAACGTCGGACTTTCTTAAATCCATATTTCCATCAACAACCGGGTATTAAATTAAACTATCCCTATTCAAGAGAGATATTTAGCAGTCCAAATCTTGGCATTATGACATTTCAAGACATGCATAAGTCACTTCCGTAAAAAATACTACCGAGACGTGCACTAAGGTATTTTTGGTGATGCAATCAAAGAATATGGAGTATCATTTGTGGGAACACTTAAGCCTTAAAAGTGTGATTTATCGAGAACATGTTGCGAATCTGGCAGCCTTGAAAGACAGTATCACTGCATGTAAGAAGTACCATAGAGAATCAATCACTGTCAGCCATTAAAAACGCTGTTCATCGTCTTCAGATTTTCTGAGATCTTTGCATAGCACGAGAGTATCGTATAAATAAAATAATTGTTCTTGCTTGCAGCGCCCAAAGTTCTGCAGTGTCGAGTTTTAGTACTAATTTTTGTTATTGTAGAAATGTCTTCCGTAATAACAAAAATTAACTGCTAAAAATTTCTCTAGAAGGCATTGAATAGGGATACTTTAATTACGATTACTCGATAAGTATATATACATATTATATTTATATATATTATAGTTTATTTTATTTAACACGATACAGTAACTTTGGATTTAAAATGAAAATTAAATAAAACTTAGAAATCTGGAAAATTAGTTATAAGGGAATAAAAGCTAAACTTTATTATCCGTAAAGTTCAGCTTTTATTCCTTGACTAGCAGATAAGCTCGGCGTTGCTCGGGCAAAAATAACGATAGCGAAGATTAAGATTATTACATTGTAGCCAATCTTATACGTTTTTACAGAATGCAAGAATTAGGTCCCCCTGTTTCCAGACTAATTAAAAAAATTTTAGATGGGTTAAAAATATGTTCGATTTCCCGCAAAAACGCAAAAAACAGCATCTGTGCCTGTAAATCTTGCACGTCGCTTTCTCTTAACACTTCCATTTTTAACACTTCCATTGTTAACACTTCCCCGCGGGGAAGTGTTAACAACCTCTCTCTCCCCGGTGGGGAATTTCGAAAAATCCCTTCTTAGTGTGCGTTCTGGTGACGTACCCTAACTGTGTACCAAATTTTAACTTTCAACTCCTAACCGTTTGGGCTCTGCGCTTATTATTATTATTATTATTATTAACCCGTCTCTATTATATATATAGATACTGTATATAGATTTCGTACTTCTAATCCTTCTATCCTAGTAGCTCGGGACGCTCCCTAGTGGGCGTTCTAGCAGCAGCGGTGTCATTCCGTAGTATAAATAATAAATTTCTATTACAAATAAAAATAATAATATACTGAATTTCTCATGACGCACCCTACTAAAACGCAGCCAAAAAATGCAAAAAACCGCATCAAATGATAATATACTGAATTTATTGTTAATTTAAATAATAGCTAGGGGCACCCTTAGTGGCCATTTTTGGCATACGGTGACAGAAAGAAAGAAAGAATCCGGTTTTTCAGCTTTATATAGTTAGATTGGTGTTCCGGGGATCTAAGATCGAGTCCGGATCAGTTTGGAGTTCTGGATTTTCAGGAGTGCGTTTTCTAGTCGTGCTGGGCCCATCCCCTACTACCATGCCGCCACTATTGTAGGTTATCTTGACTTTGGTGAAGAGCATAAAAAATATCTTAATTCCCAGAGAGCAGGAAGAGTTTTGGAATGTTTATTTAATTCGATATCCTACTTTTATTTATGTTATGTTATAAATAAGATAAAAATTTTAAATTCTTAAAGTGTAAGATTTGTAATGATATACAATTTGTTTTTTTTTTTCTTCACAGGAGCAAATCCTAATTTGTGTGATCCACGTCGACAATATTGTCCTCTGCAATGGGCACGATTCTGTTGCAGATATTCTTGTGCAGAGGCAATAGAGAAATTTATGAAAACAAATAATAAAACTTTTTTGCACAATAAATTATTTTCTACTAGTAATAAGTGGAGTAGTGACCCTGAAATAAGAACGTCCGTGCAAGAAGTGAGGCCGCCAAAATCAATGGAGAACAGTTGGTTCAAGCAAAAATTGAAAAAGACATTTCGCTACGCTGACCATAAGACAAGAAAGAGCGGTGAAGTCGGTGCGTTAAGTAACATAACATCTTCAGCTGTGATGTGTGCCTCATCAGCCATTTTGCAAAATATAGAATGTGATCAAGCATACAAAGAAATAATAATACCTAAATTAGAAGTTCTACACCATAACGGTAAATAAACGTGCCTTATCACGTCATCTTTCTATTTGGAAGAGAAGTACTATATTCTTGGAACTGCACTTCATCACTTTTATCTTCTATACCTCTTCGATAATATTTTGTTATATTCCATCTGTTATTTCTTCGCTATCTTGTACGCTTGATGCCAAATTATTTCCATCATCTATCTACCTATATATATCTACATATATATATACAGTATTTACATATATTTATACACACGTTTGTGTGTTGTACACTTGGTAACACATTTTACCGGACTTAAATAAACTTAAATACTATTAAAGTTTACTAATTGTTCAAAAACTTGAAATTTAGTACTTAATAACACTTCTGAGTGATTACTAAATTTATTAATTTTCATTTTCCTAAAACGATTCGTTTTTTTCACTTTTGTCACTTCAATATTTAATTTATTTAGAATCTTTTTAATTTCATAAACAGAAAAGTGTAAAGATGCCATCCATTAATTACGTGTACAATTTTTAAGTCGTTTTTGATTCTCTCCCTCCCTATTGTGTACAACGACATACTTTTGCAAACCCTTCTTCTGTTTAATTAATTACGTGTACAAAACCCACTGACACTGAACAAATAATTTTAAAAAGTTGCAAATATTTTCAAAGAGATAATTTATTCACACAGTTAGTAAGTGGGTTTATAAGAACAAATTCGTGTGCCACTAATACCACTAAAAAGTCTACATATGTCTTGACTTCTCCCTCCCCATCGTTTATAGTGATGTACTGTACAGTACTATACTTTTCACGACCCCTTCTCCTATTAAACTGTGCACCTAATTAATAGACGACCCGAAATATGAAATATAATAACCACAGATATCTAAACGTACAACAGATTTATTACACTGAAAGTTTTTAAAAAATATTTTTACAGTCATGTTTAACCTTTATATAATTTTTCGATAAAAACGAATTGATATTTTAAAAAATCTGTAAACAATATTATTTATTATCTAACATTAAAACATTATGTTAAAAAATAGAATATATCATCATAACATAACAGATTTGTTAAACAATTCCAAAATAAATTTATATAATTTATAGCCGTGATAAGTGCTGTAATATGTTAATTGACCTATTATCAACTTTTATAAGAAAATAATATTTTTTCTCTAATTTGTAACAGGCGACTTTGGAATTTCTTAATAAATAATCTCCAAGAACTATTGAATAATGCCATAATTTCATTTTCTATCTTTACATACTGAGAAAAAATATTACAGAAATATTACATTCTCTAAAATCAATAGCTATTAAATCACATATAGAAGATTAATTAACAATACCACATACTGTAGTACCAGACTAAATGTCCGGCAAGCTCGGCAAGTTGCCAAGTGGTCCGGATATTTCGTTTTTATGGTTTTTTTGGATTTTAAGTATATAAAAAATATACTTAAAATACAAAATAATAATGAAAAGTAAAAAACAAAATTGTATTTAAAACACCGTATGCTAGTAGTAATGTAGGAATTGTCATCGTGAGAAGCGTACGCCAACGGAAACCAAAACAAGATGGCCGTGATGGGAACTACAGCTGTACTATAGCCAGCCAAATTCAAAACGAGCTAGTTTCAAAAATAGCCGATTTTCTGTAATTATAATTCTGTAATAATTCTAGATTTCTGGAAGTCGGATATTTGGTTCAGGGTAAGATCGTTCTTATAGTTAATTAGGTTAGTCGGATGGTCTTGCGATACGGAATCCGAATCCCGATGATTTCTTATAATTCGTTGAATTGTTATCTATCTCGATTTACTCAAGCTATAGATTAGGCTCGCCCATAAGGAACTAAAATTGTGACTTAACATATAATCGATTGATGCGTGCCAGTTTCCATGAAATGATTCAATTGAGCTAAACACTTTATTCCATTATTAATACAACTTTAAAAAAGGCCACATTCGACAGAAATCACAGTTTGATTAAATATCTAATTCATATCCTAATTTTAACAATATTGGGAGAAACGTAAAAAAAAGTCAAATACTCGCCTGTTCGCTTGCCTCTCGTCTTCTCTGGACGAATGATAAACCAGAACTCACCATAAGGAAGTGGCTGTATGAGAGTTTCACCTAGAATTGCTTTTATTTGTTTAAATAAAAACATTCAAGATATTCATTGCATAATAATTTAACTATATTCTGTATGCTTTCTAAAATAATAAATGATATCACATAAATTATTAAGCTACAAAACTTAATTATTTAAATTAAGTTATTTAAGTTTTAAGTAATTAAGTTCTGTCTGTAATTATTTCAGCAATATTTTAATGAAAACATTATCTTCCCGAGGGATTAACTGTATATTTCTTCTTGAATTCAAGATTTTGTCAGTCAGGGCTATACCGTTTTGTCTACGATACCTTTAGAGGTGAACACTCCAAAGGTTAAAAGTTTTCCTCAAAGCAGCCGAAGAAAGCAATCAAAAAATCATAAATTTAGTATAAAAATAAAGTTGAAATACAATGAATACAGCTATTGAATATCTAGAGTTATATTGCCATGGTTTACACATAGAAGCGTTATTTGTTAGAGCTTAGTAGCTCTTCTTTTGACAAATATCCTTGCCTTAAATTCCGGCAGGGGAAAGCAGCTTTTTTTTTATTTGTGGTTTTAGGCCCCTTACCGCTCAAAGAGCACAAAAAGGACAATAAGGGGAAAGCAGCTATGATATTGCAGATCGATCTCGATCATCCAGACATTACAAGAAGCGCTATTAAAATTAGAAGGTGATTCTAGGCATAGAGGTGCCCCAATGCAAAATCATTTGAAATCATTCTCTGGTGCTCTTATTAATTTTTCGGACTCTATGGCCAAAAAACTAAGGATACCCATTGCTGGGACTCCGATGCTTTGCTTACCATGCTTACCGTCTAGCGCAGTGATTCTCAAACTTTTTCGATCCACCGCCCCCTTTGTTCCATAAAGTTATACCCAACGCCCCCTAACCCATTTTCTCTTGTGTGAGAAAAGGATTGGAAATATTCTTAGGAAAACTTTTCTATGAATCTCACACTTTGTGCCCTTACTGTACATTGTTCTCATCATCTGGAAACCATTAAACGCAATGTTTCCTCTTATCAGCCCCAATTTTGCCTTTGGTCACCGTTCAATACCCTGCCTCTATCATAGATCTATTCATCGCGCCAGAAGGGGGCGTTATTGCTTACTTTGAGAAACGCTGAGCTAAAATAAAAGTCAATGTGTTAGAAATATTCAAGTTGTGACCTTCAATAAAAAATAAAAAATATATAAAATGTCAACATTTTATATATATTCCGTCGAATTTTTATATATAGAATTTGTCTGCCGTCGCCCCTCTATATTTCCTTAACGCCCCCAATTCTCTTTAAGCCTTATACTGCCCCCTGAAAGCCTCCAGCGCCCACAAGGGGGCGTTATCGCCCACTTTGAGAAACGCTGGTCTAGCGCCTCCCTCGATTAATTGATATAAAAACACATTTAATATAGTTATAGTATGCTAGTACTGAACGTTTTGTTCATTAAGTAGGCTACAAACGTTCAGTACCAGCATTAAATCCAGTGTTCATTAAACTCGGGTTTCACAAAAAACTTTATGGTTCTTCTGCAAAATTTTCTATCATAATTAAAAACGTATTTACTCTAAATTGTATTACAAAAATAAGAATACAGACTATCGCATTTCTTTAAGATCGCAAAACGCCGCCATTTTTATGCCACTGGTTTGATTTCGTTCGATATGCCGTGTTTATTCTGATATTTAAAATTTAACAGATGCACCATTGCTGTGATGTCGAATTTTAGAATCGCCCCGAAAAAGGTTTCAGGTTGTTTTATTTCCTTAAAAAACCTAAAACTTTGAAAAGATGGTTACTTAATACGGGTTAAAAAATAAAGCTACTATTACAAAATACAGGAAGAAAACGTCGTCGTTCAATAATTAATCTTTAATTAAAAGTATTTTAATTAAAGATGAATTTACCGAATAATGTGTGACATTAATTTGTTAAAACAATGCAAATAACTTTAAGGGCGAAGACAAACATAAGTAAACCATCGATTTGTATAGTGTTTGGCTAGCCACTGCTTACTAAAGTGGACTAAAGATGGCGGCGCTTGTCTTAAATGCGTTACTCTGTACATCTACGAACGCCAGATCAATTCATATAATGTTTTTTTTTGTTTTTTTTTTTTTTGTATTTGCAAATGTAATTTTGAAGCTTTATAAAAAGCACAATGCAGAAACGATTGCACTAAATAATGAAAATTCTCATTTAGTTCCAGGGAAAAATGCAAAATCAATGCTTTTATATAAATACTAGCTGTTACCCGCGACTTCGCCCGCGCAGGTTTTGCAAGCAAACCCCATTTATATTCAGTATTTCAACAACCATAGTAATTGTTATATAACACCTACCGCCGAGAATGATGAGAATTGCTGAGAATTAAACGAAGGTGTTTTCGATTTGATCAATTTTAAGGAACATTTACAATCGTTCTATAATCGAACCAATACGCAATAACAAATTCGAATTTAAAACGGTTCGAACATTTGGTTAAAAAATCGAAATATATAAAAATATTTATAACAATGTTTGAAATGTTATCAATTTAAGGGAAAGTATGAAATCAATTTCAAAAGTCGTTCTTCAGGTTAAGCCTTAATGCTCTTCCTATCCCCCCGCTGGTGAATTTCGAAAAATCCCTTCTTAGTGTGCATTCCCATGGCCAGAGTCGGTAGATTAACTGGTCTTTCGACTAATAGTTCAAACTTAGCTAGAGACAATATTTGCCGCTAGTCGGCGCCACTGTTAGCAGGAGATCGTTGTTCTTGCTAGGTATATACTGAAGTCAGTGATTTTGACCTATAATAATTGTTTTTTTAGCTCCATAAAAATGCCAACGTGCTTTGTGCCAG